AGGGGTCGCGCTTTGCCCCGACGGGGGCGGGCGGAGCGGGGCGGCCGCGCGGCGCCGCCGCCGCGATTTCGTTGCCGTTCGCTCGCCCCGCTGCTCGCCGCGCTCACGCGCCTCTCCGCCCGCAGCCGCCGCGATGAAGACGGAGGAGGCTCCGTCCTGCCTGCAGCAGCCCCCGCCGCTCCTGGGCTTCGGTGAGTGCCGGGGGACGGCGAGCGGCTCCGGCTCCGCCGGGGGCTGCTCGTCCGTCCTCGTCCCCTGCGCTCCGCGGGTGTCTCTGWGCCCACGGTCTCCTCGGGGAGCACCCGGTCCCGGCAGCACCTTCCCCGACCCTCCCCGCGGTGCCGCGCTCCYTGCTCCTCTTCCTCCCCTCTGCCCKCCTGGGCAGGCGATTCCTGCCCCGGGCCCCGTCCGAGCGCAGGGGGACGCGGAGCAGCACCCGGGGCAGATCGGAGGCACCCCCAGCTCCGGGGGACCCCAGGGTGCTGCAACCCCCCCCCAGAGCAGCGGGGCTGAGCGGGCCGCGGCTGCATCCCACGGGACACCGAGACCCCGGCCAAGGGACAGCGAAGGCCCATCCTCCTCTCCCTCATCCGCCCAGCCGGCCTGGATGAGCCCCGCTTTGCTGCTCCGCGCCTCGGCCCCGGCCGCTCCTGCTCTATGCAGTGCCACGGCGCCATTCCCCGATCCTTAGCCCCTTCTTCATGCCTTTTCCTGCACCACGCTGGGTTAAAATTGCCCTTTTTTAGTGTCTTTGCTAGTTCAAGCGCTGGATTTTAACCAGATCAATTGCAAAGGCTGGTGTCTTTCGGCCAGTGCTGGGCAGACCCTCCTTTACTTTCAGTTTCCAGCCTTTCTCCCGAACTAATCATGGCAGAGTCTCCTCAAAAGCGTCAGTTTTCCCAGGCCTTTTCCCATCCCTCATCCTGACCTGGTGGCGTTGGCTGATTTTTTTACAATATTAAGTTCTTCCCTACTTCCTCCCCACACACTGCAGAGGAGTTTGGGGCTATTAAGAGCTGCAGATGCCCCAAACTCACCTGCTGGAGGGTGACGCTGTGCAGCCCGTGGGGTAAAAGTCAAGCAAGATGCAAATGAATGAGGGAAAAAGTTAATAGCAGAGCTCTAAACCCAAATCAGACCAGAAACGCAGGAGGGGAGGTTTGGGAAAGCAGGGAAACCATCTGCTTTTTGCAGAGAACTTTTGCACGTTCCCTCTGCTAAGCCAGGACTCGCCGGCCTGGACATTTAACCTGGAATTGCAGCTCTCCTGGATCGGCTCTGCTACCTGTGCGGCTGCCGTGGCACAAACAGGAGCCTCCTGCAGCCGGGGAAAGGCGGCTGCGTAGACAGGTCCAGGGCTGCCTCACACCCTTTTATTTATTTATTTATTTATTTATTTATTTTCTCCTCATTATTGTGCAAAAATCCCCATTTCCTCCCATGAAAAGCTTGCAGTTGCTGCTCCTTAATAAGGAAAAAAACAGCGCATTTTCAATATATTAAAAAAAAAAAAAACATAAAAACACTCATTGTCTCTCCTAGCACCCTGTGCTGTCCCGGGCTCCCCAATGGGGCTCAAGCTTCCGTGGGGCTAAAAGGGGGGAGAGGCTGTGGACACCCCATAACCGCGGAGCTTGGCACAACGGGTGCAACGACTGCGTGATGTCTCCGCCAGCCCCACGCAGTCCAGCAGATAGCGCGTTTATTGCTCCTTTACCTCCAACTTATCCCTCAGGAGCCTTTGAAGGGCAGCCATAGATCTGCATGGTGATAACACTGCAGGGAGGGGAAGAAATCCCAAATCTCCGGAGCTTTCTCTATTTTAAGCAACTTGGCACCAAGCGCGGAGGGAAATTGGGTGGGATTCGGCTCCAGAACCGTCCTCTGACCTGGGCCGAAGCCTCCAAGAGCTCCATTTTGGACTAGATGACCTCTGAGGTCCCTTCCAACCTTAAGCATTCTATGATTCCACGTGTGTCTTGCTGAGACCCACGCAAACGGATCCGCTTCACATTTTTCTCCTGGTCTCAAGTATGTGTATTCTCTAAAAATGTCCTATCCCCGCTCTGCAATTTAAATACTGCTGTAGCCGGGGACTTTGGCTTCACCTGGGATTAATTTACCACCTGCAGACTGCAGCCAAGCCCAGAACATGCYGCTTTCTCATGCTTTGCAGCGCAAACTTTCGTATTTATTTGCAAGGCTGCTGCAAGGAACTCCATGCAGAGCCTCCCTTTCCCCCMTCCTGTGCCCGTTCGGTAACTGCCACCACCACCACGGAGCATTAAATAAAACAAGGCAGCCACCACTTGCCAAAGCAGGGCTGCCCGAAGCAGAGCCCTCCTGCTCACGCCGCCTTCTCGCTGCAGACGCCAAGATGCGGGAGGTGTGCGCGGGCTGCGAGAGCCCCATCGCCGACCGCTTCCTGCTGCGCGTCAACGAGCGCTCGTGGCACGAGGGCTGCGTGAAATGCGCCGCGTGCCTGCAGCCGCTCTCGGGCACCTGCTACTGCCGCAACCGGCAGCTCTACTGCAAGCACGACTACGAGAAGTAAGTGCCCGCCGGCCCGCGCGCGGCCTTCGCTTCCCTCGGGGCTCGGGTGCGTTTTTGCACGCTGCAGATTGCAGGGTGC